CCTCTAAAATTAGTCTTTTCTCTCGGTCCCTAGGAAAGGAAGAACAGCAATGACTATGCTACCACTCTGGTTTTCAAGCTCACAGCACTCAACTATGCCCAGCTGAGTCACAGAAGAACTTGAGAAGGGACTGACTTCAAGTCCGTATCTCACAGTAGCTCACTCTGCCTGAAAATTTTCTCTCGCTATCATTAAGAGTCTTCTCTTCTGCAAAATTTGGGGTGCTTTTATCTACCATTGGGACAGAGAGTCCCTGCCCTCTCACCATGGGCAAGAGAACCATCATGGCTGCAGAGTCCTATGTTTTTAAGTATCAGTTTAGCATTTTAAATATATGTGTGTCTACACACACACATGCACACATTCAGATTACAAGCATACAATACTTTTTATCCATGAATATGAAAAAAAAGACCAAAAGGAAATATAGAAAAACTTTACATGGCATTATCATGTTTTTATACTTAATCATTTTTAAAGGTCTCATTTTACCAAAGCTTACACGCTAAGGGTCACAGCTATTTCCATATATTTGTTTGTAGTCACTAAAAATAAAAATGGAATAGTCCTCTCTAGCTCTAACCATTCCCATCATCTACAATTCTTTTTTTTCTTTTTTGAGACAGAGTCTCACTCTGTTGTTGTGGCGTCAGCCTAGTTCACAGCAACTTCCAACTCCTGGGCTCAAGCAATCCTCCTGCCTCAGCCTCCCAAATAGCTGGAACTACAGCATGTGCCACCATGCCCAGCTAATTTTATTTATATATGTGTGTGTGCATGTGTGTGTGTGTGTGTGTATTTTCTTTTTTTAGTTGTCCAGCTAATTTCTCTCTATTTTTTTTCAGTAGAGATGGGGGTCTCACTCTTGCTCAAACTGGTCTCAAACTCCTGAGCTCAAGCAATCCACCCGGCTGGGCCTCCCAGAGTGCTAGGATTGTAGGTGTGAGCCACCATGCCAGGCCCATCATCTATAATTCTAAGCAAAAGATGGGCATCTCATTGTATATATAGCAGCAAAAGAAATCATCTACTTTCCTAAACCTCAGCAAAATATTCCAAAACACTTTGCAATTGGCAGAATACATAACCTCCAAAGATGTCCACATCCTAATCCGTGGAACCTGTGACCGTGTTACCTGCAAAGGGGACTTTGTAAGTCTTACTAAAGACCTTGACATGGGTAAATTATCCTTAATTACCCAAGCGGATCTGATATAATAACACTGGTCCTTAAAAACAGAACTTTTCCCAGCTGTGGTCACAGAGGAGCCTACAGAAGAATGATCAGAGAAATGCAACACTGGTGGCTTTAAAGATCGAGAAAGAGGGCCACAAGCCAAGGAGAGTGGCAGCCTCTAGGAGCTGGAAGAGGCAAGGAAATAGATGCTCCCCTAGAAACCTTGGCCAAGAACACAGCCTTGCTGACACACTGATTTTAGCCTGGTGAAAAACATTTCAGACTTCTAACCTACAGAACTACAAAATAATAAATGTGTTGTTTTAAGGCACTAAATTTGTAATTTGTTACAGCAGTCATGGAAAACCAATCCACACATATTAAACAACTTCTCACAATGTGTGAAATTATCTAGAGGAGAAAAGCATAATCAAATTGCCTAAATATTTAGAGCAATACAAGAAAGTGATTTGTACATGTTGCTGTATGTTTCATTTTTATTTGTCTCCTGTTCTCACAAAGTTCTACTCATTAAAAAGCCAGCCAAAGTGACAATTCTTCAAACTTTTTGTAGAATGATCCATATTAATCAAAAAAAAGGGAACAATCAGAGCCCAGCACAGTGGCTCACACCTGTAATCCCAGCTCTTTAGGAGGCCAAGACAGGAGGACCACTTGAAGCCAGGAGTTTGAGACCACCGCACTCCAGCCTGGGCAAGTGCAGATCACGAAAGTGAGATCCTGTCTCTAAAAAATAAAATAAATTTAAAAATAAAAATACAGTAAGTCTTTCTAGATATTGATGATATTAAGAGCTTACTATTATTTTCTATAAGTGTAATGATATTGTGGCCATATTAAAAACAGAAAACAACTCAATCTTCTACAAATATATATACTAAAATATTTACAGATGAAATGGTATGCCTATGATTTCCTTTAAAATAACTGGGAGTGGGGATAGGAATGGATAGGGATATAGATGAAACTAAATTCGCATGAGCTAATATTTATTGGAGCTGGGTAATGTGTATGTGGGAGTATATTATATTATGTCACTGTCTGAACTTTTTTTTTTTTTAAGACAGAGTCTTGCTTTGTTGCCGAGGCTAGAGTGAATGCCCTGGCATCAGCCTAGCTCACAGTAACCTCAATCTCCTGGGCTCAAGCGATCCTGCTGCCTCAGCCTCCCGAGTAGCTGGGACTACAGGCATGCGCCACCAGGCCCAGCTAATTTTTTCTATATATATATTAGTTAGCCAATTAATTTCTTTCTATTTATAGTAGAGACGGGGTCTCGCTCTTGCTCAGGCTGGTTTCAAACTCCTGACCTCAAGCAATCCGCCCGCCTCAGCCTCCCAGAGTGCTAGGATTACAGGCGTGAGCCACCACACCCGGCCACTGTCTGAACTTTTCTATATTTAAAAGGTGCAAGAACAATGTCCTTGCACAAGGTGCAAAAAACTGTCCTTTTTTTTTTTTTGAGACAGAGTCTCACTTTGTTGCCCAGGCTAGAGTGAGTGCGGTGGCGTCAGCCTAGCTCACAGCAACCTCAAATTCTTGGTCTCAAGCAATCCTGCTGCCTCAACCTCCCGAGTAGCTGGGACTACAGGCATGCACCACCATGCCCGGCTAATTTTTTCTATATCTATCAGTTGGCCAATTAATTTCTTTCTATTTATAGTAGAGATGGGAGTCTTGCTCTTGCTCAGGCTGGTTTCGAACTCCTGATCTCGAGCAATCCGCCTGCCTAGGCCTCTCAGAGTGCTAGGACTACAGGCATGAGCCACCGTGCCTGGCCGAAAAAAGTCCTTGACCTACCTGTCATAACACAGACTTCATATCAGCTGAATCTCTTTCCTTTTTTATTTATTTTTTTTTTGAGAGAGAGAGTCTCACTCTGTTGCCCGAGCCTGTGGCATCAGCCTAGCTCACACCAACCTCAAACTCCTGGGCTCAAGCAATCCTCCTGCCTTAGCCTCCCAAGTAGCTAGGACTACAGGCATGCGCCACGATGGCCAGCTAATTTTTTTCCTGCATATTTATAGTTGTCCAGCTAATTTCTCTTTATTTTTAGTAGAGATGGGGCCTCGCTCTTGCTCAGGCTGGTCTTGAACTCCTGAGCTCCAACAATCCGCCCACCCCGGCCTCCCAGAGTTCTAGGACTATAGGCGTGAGCCACCGCGCCAGGCCTGAATCTCTTTCCTATTCACATTGCCCCACCTCAATTCTCTGCCACTTAAACCACTGGCAACTGATACCCTCATCAATTATTCCTTTTTTTTTTTTGAGACAGAGTCCTAGCTCAGTTGCCCTGGGTAGAATGCAGTGGCATCATCATAGCTAATTGCAACCTCAAACTCCTAGGCTCAAGTGATCCTCCTGCCTCAGCCTCCCAAGTTGCTAGGACTACAGGCTCCTGCCCAGATGCCCAGCTAATTTTTCTATTTTTAGTAGAGACAGGGTCTCCTTCCTACTGAGAATGGTCTTGAACGATGCTCAAGCAATCCTCCCACCTCAGCCTCCCAGAGTGCTAGGAATACAGATGTGAACCACCGCACCCAACCAATTATTCTTTAATCCCAATTCATTTTGCCCTATTTATTAACTTTATGAGCTAAAGCAAGTCACCTAACTTCTAAAAGACTGGTTCTTTATTTGCAGAATGGGAATATTCGCACTTGCCCAGTCTATCTTTGAGCTGCTGAGAGGATTATCTGAAATAAAAACTGCAAAGTAAGATAATCATTCTAGAAACCCACATAATCACATATTTCATCCTATAGATCTTCTTCCCTTCCACCTCCAGTTCCTCTCTTGAGCCCTCATCAACCCAAGCACCTGGGTTCCTCTGGTAAAGTTAGACTCCTCTCCACCACCTCCACTCCCCAAGTGTTCATCTTTCAGCACAGCACCCTCTCTACACACCCCTCTCTCCAATCCCACATCCTCTTTGATGGCTCTCACTCTATCTGCCCCCCTAGGCAGTCTATTCTGGGTACCCCCTTTGCTAACATTATTACAATCATCCACCTCTTCTCTACCCCTTTTTCAGTACTTTGATCTAATCATCTTTATCACCCTACTACCTTCAAACCCCACTACTGCCCCCAGTTCACAAACACCCACCCTTTCATCCTTCAGTTAAAACACAATTAATTGCTCAGGCACATCCATGGGACAGAAAGTAGACTGGCAGTTGCAGGAGGTGGGGAAAGGGGCAATGAGGCGTGATTGCTAAATGGGTACGGGCTTCTTTTGGGGGTGATAAAAATGTTCTGAAGTTAGATGGTGGTGACGGCTGCACAATCCCGTGAATATACTAAAACCACTTCATTGTACTTTTAAAGGGTGAACTTTACGGTATGTGAATTATATCAATAAAATGTGTACGTAAAAAAGAAAAACAACTACTGCTCACCCTGTCCATCACACGCCCATTTGTCAGGCCAACATCGCCCCATCTCCGGAAGCATCGACTTGCCCTACGGTAACCCCCCAACTCCCAACACCAGGCTGGACCGAGGTCCCTCCCACTCTCCATTAACACACCCCTCAGCGCTCGGCGGGGCGGGGGCTGCCGGCCCGCTCTCGCAGCTCAGGCACAGCCCCGCGGGGTGGCCCGGGCCCCCACCGGTGGGAAGGGCCCCTCCTCCCCCGCGCCAGCGGAGCCCCCTCACGTCCCGGCGCCGACGGGGAGCGGAGGTGTCCCCTAACCCGCTCTGACAGGGGGCGGGAGAGAGGGGGCGGGAGAGAGGGGGCGGGGGTGGCCCGCCGGGTTTCCAGACAGGGCCGCGCTGCCGGGGGCGGCGCCACAGCCCACCTGTCTCAGCCGGCGGGGAGATCTGCTTCCAGCTCCACAGACCGACGGACGGGCGGGTGGCAGAGGGGATCAGTAGAAGCCGCGGTCGCCGCCGCAGCCCGGGGTGGCGCACGCCGGCTCAGGCCTCCATGTTTCCACGTCTCTGCAGGTCCGGCTCCGGTTCCGGCTGTGGCTCGGCTCCGGCTTGGGTCCAGCCCGGGCCGCTTCGGTGAGGAGGCCGGGAGACGGCGACAGAAGAGGGAAGCAACCGTGAACGCGGCTAGGGAGCGAACGGCCGGGCGCGCGCCAGCCGGGCGGTCACGTGGCACGCGACGCGCGGGTGCCTCTGGGAAACGTAGTCCCTCGGGCGTCCCTGACTCCTCCACCCTCCTAACGCCTCCCGGGCAGCCACAAAGCCACGTGGCCAGCGTGCTGGCTCGCTTACCCTGCACCATTTGTTCTGGCGGCTTACCTCTCTTAAGCGAGACCCCTGTTAATTTCAACTAAACAACCATCCCAAAGTCAAGCAGTTTCTTGTGGGGCTCTGAAGAATTGAGAAATAGGAAAATAATTTTTGATGGAGGCAGCAGCCTGCGATATTGTCAGAAAGGACAAGTCCCACAGGAAAGAATATCAATATGATGTAGTGCCAAAAGTATGGAATTTGAAGTCAAATGAGCTGAGATTACCAGGTTGACATCCTCGAGCAAATTATTTAACCTCTCCCAGCTAGTGTCCTTATCTAAAATATGCACATGAGAAATATGTACATGAGGATGAGTCTGCCCTCCATGATTGTTGACATTACGGCAGTAATAATTAATAATTCACAGTATAGGTTTTATATTTGCTGTGCAATATTATCTTGTTTATTTCTCAAAATAACCGTATAGAACAGTTATCTTTATTTCCATTATATAGCCATTATGTGCTAATGTACTCTTTAAAGTACTACACAAATATTGTTCCTTTCCAGCATTGACTGCCAATAAGTTCACTAAGCTTGCAGAATTATAACAAGAAAACATTAAAACGCAAGGTACCTAGCTAAAAAGAGATGGGAAGTATTTGATAGCCATTGTAAAAAATTCTATGGATGCATATTTACTGGAAAACATGATATGTTGAGTGGAAACAGTATATATAGTATTACCCAATTTTCATATGTGCCCAGGGAGAAAAAAAGACTAAAAGAATACTAACAATATTACAACTTTGGGTAATGAGATCATGTGTGACTAAAATTAGTTTTTCCCTATGTGTTTTCTACTTTTCATGCAAGGAATCTGAACTGCATGTATAATTTTACTTTTTTTTTTGAGACAGAGTCTCACTCCGTTGCCCGGCCTAGCGTGCTGTGGCATCAGTCTAGCTCACAGCAACCTCAAACTCCTGGGTTCAAGTGATCCTCCTGCCTCAGCCTCCCGAGTAGCTAGGACTACAAGCATGTGCCACCATGCCTGGCTAATTTTTTCTATATATTTTTAGTTGTCCAGCTAATTTCTTTCTAATTTTAGTAGAGATGGGGTCTTGCTCTTGCTCAGGCTAGTCTTGAACTCCTGACTTGGAGCGATCCTCCTGCCTCAGCCTCCCAGAGTGTTAGGATTACAGGCGTGAGCAGCCTATAGTTTCACTTATAAATTGTAGCAAAAAGAGAATCAAGCATCAAAACCAAACTCAAAGCATTTTGTAATTTTGCCTAGTGTACACTCTACTCCCCGGAAATTAACCCAGCAACAGTTATGAGCATCTCTTTAAAACTGGCTTTGTAGGCCAAGAAGCTAGGCAAACGTCACAAATCAAAGGTACAATTAGGAATGGTTTTTACAATTTAGGAAAGCATAATTTGGAGTAGCAGTCCTTCAGTAACTTTACTGTACATGTAATGTGTGAAGTATTATCCTTGGTCATCAACTTTCAAACTGCCTACAGAAGTATCATGATAACTGTTACTAACTCAACTACAGGGTCTAATTAGTGCAAAAACACCAATAAGAAAGCCATGAAATCCTTCTAAATGAAATGAGGTATCCTGGATTGGATCCTGGAACCAAAACAGCCAATAGTGGGAAAACTGATGAAATCCAAATGAAGTATGGAGTTTAGATAAGGGTATTGTACCAATGCTAATTTCTTAGTTTTGATAAATGTGCCATATTTAAATGTGCATATTAACATATGTAAGATGTTAATATTAAAGGAAGCTGGGGGAAGGATATACAGTAACTCTCTATACCTTGAAACTCTTCTGTAAATCTAAAATTATTCCATGTGGTAGGCAAGATAATGGGCCTCCCTACAGATGCCTACATCTTAATCCCCGGAACCTGTGAATATTTTGGGTTACATGGCAAAGGGAAATTAAGGCTGCAGATGGCGTTAAGATTGCTAATCAGCTGACCTTAAAATAGGGAGATTATCCCTATCCCAGCCATTCCAATTAGACCTGTCAGGAAAGAAGACAGGAGTGGAATGGTTCCTAGCAGTTGCTTGAATATACCAGGCATGCTCCCAGCTCTGAGCTTTTTAAACACCTGCTGTTGCCTCTGCTTGAACCTTTCTTTTCCTTTTTTAAATAGTTAACATTGTATTTATTGCATGCCAAATACCAGACATCACTCTAGGCACTGGGATGTTACAGATCAACTGAATTATTTGTTGCTTTCAAGGAGCTTATATTCTGGTGGGAGATGACAAGGAAATAAACAAACATTATAATTAAGGCACTTAGACCACTGTTAAGACTTTCTTCCTTATCTCCTCTAAGACTCTGGTCAAATGTGACATTATCAAAGAGCCTTTTCTTGTTTACCCTATGTAAAATGGCAATACCTCCCAACCCTCTCCTCCTTTCTATGGCTCCAGCACTCTCATTCTTTTTGCATCCTTGATATTCCCATATGAAATTTAATCACCTCCTGACACATTATATAACTATCTGGATTGTAAGCTCCATGAGGCAGGGACTTTGGTTCATTGTCATAGCCCAAGGTTCACAGTGAGCACTTAGCAAGCATTTTTTTGAATTAAATATTCAACCCTTTCATTAGGAGTTATGGGTTAAATTATGTCCCCCACCAAAAAAAAAAAGTTTACCTATTGAATGAAGTCCTAACCCCTAGTATCTCAGAATGTGACCTTATTTGGAGATAGGGTCTCTACAGAGGTTACCAAGTTAAAATAAGGTCACTTGGGTAGCCCCCAATCCAATATGACTAGTGTCCTTATATCACAAGTCCTAATGAATTGTGATTTCTTATTTGATCTACTGGATTTTTAAGAGTGTGTATTTAATTTCTACAAAATTTGAATTTTCCTTGGTTGTTTGAGCCTGTAATCCCAGCCATGCAGGAGGCTAAGGCCAGAGGACTGCTTGAAGCCAAGAGTTCACGATCAGACTGGGCAACATTGTGAGATCCTGCCTCTAAAATAAATAAGTAAGTAAATAAATAAATAAAATGTTTCTGCCTGTATTCTATAAATGGAACAAGAAAGGCTGGATGACAACACATCTGTTTACAGCATGGTGTACTGAATATTTTAACCCCACTGTTTAGACATATTGCTCAGAAAAAAATATTTCTTTCAAAATATTAGTACTCATTGACAGTTCACCTGGTCACCCAAGAGTTCTATTGGAGGTGTACAAGGAGATTAATGTTGTTTTCATGCCTGCTAACACAACATCCATTCTGTAGAACAAGAATTTAAGAGTAATTTTGACTTTCTAGTCCTACTAAGAAATATATTTCTTAAAGCGGTAACTGCCATAGTTAGTGATTCCACTGATGGATCAGGGCAAAGTAAATGGAAAACCTTCTGGAAAAGGTTCACCATTCTAGATGCTGGTAAGAACATTAGTGATTCATGGGAAGAGGTCAAAATATCAACTTTAAGCTGAGCATGGTGGCTTATGCCTATAATCCGAACTCAGAAGCTTGAGGCAGGAGGATTGCTTAAGGCCAGGAGTTCAAGACCAGCCTGGGCAACATAGCACGACCCCATCTCATTTCTAAAAAAAAAAAAAATTAAGTTAAAAATCAACATCCGCATAGGAAATGTTACCTTGGAAAGCAAAAGAAAGAAAAAAAAAGAAAATTAAATTTAAAAAATCAACATTAACAGGGATTTGGAAAAATTTGATTGCAACCCTTATGGATGATTTGGAGGGGTTCAAGATTTAGTGAGGTCCTACACTGCTGGTGGGACTGCAAACTAGTTCAACCTCTGTGGAAAGCAATATGGAGATACCTTAAAGCGATACAAGTGAATCTACCATTTGATCCATACATGACAAGAAATCACAGATCAGACTGGGCAAGCATTGTGAGATCCTGCCCTAAAATAAATAATAATAAACAAATAAACATGTTTCTGCTGTATCTATACAATGGAAAAGATGAAGCCGGATGACAACACATGTTTACTAGCTATGGTGGTAGCTGATATTTAAGCCCACTGTTTAGACATATTCTCAGAAAAAAATATTTCTTCAAAATTAGTGCTCATTGACAGTTACCTGGTCGACCCAAGAGTTCTATTGGAGGTTATCAAGAGAATTAATGTTTTCATGCCTGCTAACACAACAGTCCAGGGTCGAAGGTAGAAACAGATAGATATGACTATTATAGAATATACAAATAGTTTAATAAACATAACATTAACTTAGGCATAGTTGTGTATACACATAGTGATCAAGGAGCAAGAAAAAACATATTTTCAGAAAATCACACATTTCTAATGCATGGATAAAACATATATAGAATTATACATGGAAAGGAACAAAAAACACTTAGCTGAAGCATGGACCACATCTAAAACCAGCATATTAGACGAGGGAATATCAAAAACACCAAAACACAAACCTACTCATATTCATAAAATGATAATAATGGACATTGGAAGCAAAAGAAGAAAAAAAAAGAAAATAAATTTAAAAAATCAACATTAACACGGGATTTGGGATAAATTTGATTGCAACCTCATCGGATGATTTGAGGGGTTCAACGACTGTGTAGTGAGGTCCTACACTGCTGGTGGATGTGAAACTAGTTCAACCTCTGTGAAACAATATGGAGATACCTTAAGGCGATACAAAGTGAATCTACCATTGATCCAGCCATGCTCATTGCTGGGGCATCTAACCAAAAGATCCAATGACACTCTACAAAAAGACACCTGCACTCCAATGTTTTAGCCAGCACAATTCATAATTGCAAGCTGTGGAAACCAGCCAAGTCCCATCGAATTCAAGAATCGGATTCAATAAACATGTTATAGTTATGCGGAGTACTATTCAGGTTCTAAGAAACAACGGTCGAATACGCACATCTTAGTATTTTCCTGAT